TGATAAAATTCATCAAACGTTCTCTTTGTTCCAGCTTTAAATCCTTGATCTTGGTTGCCAACACAGAATCATCTACATCCATCTCGACCACTTTGTTTACTGTTGCGCTGTACCATGAAAGGGACCCAGACAGGCGCTTGAGTTTAACTTTGCTCATTGGCCAGTTGCACGGTCTACAACTTCCAGGGTTCTTGCAGACCGTCTACTGCATTCCGATTCCTGACCTCGTCGCTGGAGAGAAATGAAATTGAGTGGAGGCTCTAGGTGGCACCAGCCTGGCTAGTAATGTTGTTTCCTCTTCAGAACCATACCTGGAGTTGTGGTTTGTTTCTTTCACAAGTTTAACACACAAACCCTGTGCAATTAATCTGAGTTCTTCTCTCTAACAGAAGACATATAGGTTCCACCTTGTGATGTCATGTGGTAATACAGGAAGTGCACTGTGTTTTAAACTCCATACACCTTCACTAGAATCATTTGGACAATTTCCGCCCTAGAATTGCAAATCTCTAGTGAAGAAAAGTTAACAGGAGCTGTTAAAGTAGACAGCCCAGTAATGCAGGATTACTCAAACATGGGTGAATGAAACAAAACACAAGTCCAGATATGTTTTTGGTGACATGGCTTAAAGCTCACAGGAGTCAGTTTTGTCTAGTATAGGACCTTTAAAGTGAAGCAATTGTAAAATGTTCAGCTTCACTTACTGCAAGAAGGGTCAAGGTAACACCAGACTGTAAAAGACAAATAAAACATATCTTAAATATTTATGAATGGAGCCAGCAATAAATAAATAAAAAAAAAAAAAAAAACACACACACATTCCACTTACCAAAATCAGAGGCTGCAGGGACGATCACTGGTATTAGCCACACACAAACTACTCCCAATATTATCCAGCCCATTTTCGGACACCTTTAAAAAAAACACAATTAAAACATCTCGACTACTGAATAAGCAATGTTATGTTATATTTGGGGCGTTTGATTTTCAGCAACGAAGAATGAAATCAAACCATGCCTCAAATTTTAATATAACGTCTATGGTTTTTTTTACTTCTCGTTTTGATCCATGCAGCCTTCCCATTCTTTGACATGAGCGGGGATGGGGGAAAATACTCGATACATTTTTTTTTTTTAACCCACACGCAAAAAATTAAGTTAAAAAAGAATGTAATGTAATGAAAAGTAAATTTGAGCACAGTAAACCTTGTCAAAACTTAAATTCTAGTAAGTAATATCCACGATGTACTACCAGAAGATATACTGCAGTTTGTGGTGGTTTCATCCGTGTCTTGGGCTGGTCTCCTTTTATATTTACTGACCCAGCCCAAAGGGAGGACCCACCAAACTGGACAAGCAACTATCTGAACCCAAAAATACAAGACGGACCTCCTCAGAACATGCACAAATATGTAGGAAAAACCTGCCCAAACAAGAAATTTGACCTTTTTTGACCCAATTTGCAACTAATGACTAAATTAAAACGATATCCATACACAGTAATACTAATAAAATACGAATACCAGAGGCGGAAAAAGTAATCAATTGTGTTACTTAAGTAGAAGTACAGATACCCGAGCAAAAAATAAATGTAGTAAAAGTAAAAGTATCACATGAAAAAAAATTTACTTAAGTAAAAGTATTAATGTACCTGTTTAAAACTGTAAGTTAAGACTAAAAAGTAAAAAATGTGTTGTGCATATTTTGAGGTCTTACATGGCAAAAAACAAAATCTAGCCAAGTTAAGATGACTCAAATTAAGAAAGTTCATCATGATTTGAGTAAATTTCACTTGACAAGTAAAATTATCTGCCAGTGGAACAAGACTTTTTGTAGTTAAAAAATGAAAATACATCTTGCTGCAATCAAAATAAGAAAAACAACTACTTTTTGCATTTAAAATAACAAACAAAATTGAATGTTTTTTTTTTGTTTCTTTGTTTTTTAATAATTTGCAATTTATTCAGTGCTTTTTTGTCCACATAAATCACAATATACATGCCCTATTTTTTTTCCCCACATATAAACTCAATATAAATGTAGAAAGTAGATTAAAAAAAAATATATCAAAAATCGAATGTTGCTTGAATTAAGAAAACACTGATTCCATTGGTAGATCATTTTACTTAAGTTGAATCGACCCAAATAAATTTTAATTTGCATTTTAATTTACCTAGATATTGTTTTTTTCCAGTGTGTAAGGCATCAAATGTGTCAAATGTAGTGATTTTGATGAATAAAAATGCTCAATAAAAAGAACTGAATTGATTTTTTTTCACCTAGCTGTTTTTATTTGTATATTTTTGTGCACTCAAACCAAAAATGTGTTCAAACTAAAGCCCTCCGGTTTTTCAGCAGGTCTCCAACTATAATAAAAATACTTTTCAGTCCAATTTAAAAAATGCAGGGGGGTAGAAAGTACTGGTACCTTGGACTCAGACCTAGATTTAGACAAACTTGTTTGATCCACAAGGGAAATTACTCACACATCAAAATATATTATAATAACAAAGAGAAAACATGTAAATGGTAATAATACATTCTAAACAAGTACTTGCTCTCAAATGTAGTGAAGTAAAAGTAACAAGTATCCAATAAAATGTACTTAAATAAAGTACAGATAAAGTACCAAAAATGTATACACAAGTACAGTAAAAGTACATATAAAAAAGTACACATAAGTACATACCGTATATGACTTGTCTTTGCAGAGCAGGTGTTGTGTAAAACCCCTAATCCTATAACAGTGTCAGTTATAGGCAAGGCAAGTTAATAAGTATAGCTCATTTCATTCAGTATAATTCAGTTTAAAGTGGAAGGAGGAAACATAACAGATTTCAGAAGAAACTTTTGGGTGTGTCCCGATGTGGTTCTTGTTTGAATGAGATGGACAACAAAGGTGAAAGTTTCCTGCAACTTGCCATCAAATAAGATTTTTTTAAAACATCCAGTATTACGTGAAAATGACTCTCGTGATTTTTTAGTTATGTTATAATGTGGTTACCTCGTCAAAAACATGCCTGGAGTTGTGTTTTGTGGTTTGTTTAACACACAAAGCTCTGCGTATTTGGGCTGAGTTCTTATCTCAAACAGAAAACACTGTTCCACCTTGTGATGTCATGTATACATGCAGGTATACAAGTGCTCCGTTGTCTTTTTAAACTCCATACACCTTCACGAGAATCACTTGGATCATTTCAGCCAAGGAATTACCAATCTCTACTGATCTAAAGGTAAAAGATAACTCAATCAATCAATCAAACTTTATTTATAAAGCGCTTTTTCATACAAAAATGTCACACAAAGTGCTTTACAGTGATTAAAAACAATCCCACATTTCCACTTACCCAACCCAGACAGCTGCCCGACCCCACACAACTAAAACAACCCAGACACGCACAGGCACGCGCACACTAACATGGTAAAATACATAAAATCCCCTATAGTAAAATGTGAGGCTGAATACAGGCGAACCAGTTGAGAAAGCACCATCAGAGGAGCAGAGAGACGTCCACCACCACCAGGAACCACCACAGGGCCCAGGGGAGAGATGAAGCCCAAGCACCAACCCTCCACCAGGAGCCCATGGGACAGACCCCGGCAGCCATAGCCGACCCCTGCTCCCAATGCAGAGGCTCCTACAGAGGAAACACTGGAAATTATAAAAAATATGTCTAAAATGAATACATATAATAAAATGTGTACAATGCAAACAGGTAAAAGTATAAGATTTTAATCAAAAGCTAAGCTAAAAAGGTGGGTCTTGAGCCTGCTCTTAAAAAACATGAACGTTCTCTGCAGCCCTGAGCTCCTCCGGCAGACAGTTCCATAGACGGGGCCATAATACTGAAAAGCCTCCTCTCCGTGAGTGTGTGTCCTGACTTTGGGAATGACCAGGAGCTGCTGCCGGAGGAGCGCAGGGCTGCAGAGAACGTTCATGTTTTTAAGAGCAGGCTCAAGACCCACCTTTTTAGCTTAGCTTTTGATTAAAATCTTTATACTTTTACCTGTTTGCATTGTACACATTTTGTTATATGTATTCATTTTAGACATATTTTTTATAATTTCCAGTGTTTCTTCTGTAGGAGCCTCTGCATCAGGAGCAGGGGTCGGCTATGGCTGCCGGGGTCTGTCCCATGGGCTCCTGGTGGAGGGTTGGTGCTTGGCTTCATCTCTCCCCTGGGCCCTGTGGTGGTTCCTGGTGGTGGTGGACGTCTCTCTGCTCCTCTGATGGTGCTTTCTCAACTGGTTCGCCTGTATTCAGCCTCACATTTTACTATAGGGGATTTTATGTATTTTACCATGTTAGTGTGCGCGTGCCTGTGCGTGTCTGGGTTGTTTAGTTGTGTGGGGTCGGGCAGCTGTCTGGGTTGGGTAAGTGGAAATGTGGGATTGTTTTTAATCACTGTAAAGCACTTTGTGTGACATTTTTGTATGAAAAGCGCTTTATAAATAAAGTTTGATTGATTGATTGAGTTATCTTTTACCTTTAGATCAGTAGAGATTGGTAATTCCTTGGCTGAAATGATCCAAGTGATTCTCGTGAAGGTGTATGGAGTTTAAAAAGACAACGGAACACTTGTATACCTGCATGTATACATGACATCACAAGGTGGAACAGTGTTTTCTGTTTGAGATAAGAACTCAGCCCAAATACGCAGAGTTTGTGTGTTAAACAAACCACAAAACACAACTCCAGGCATGTTTTTGACGAGGTAACCACATTATAACATAACTAAAAAATCACGAGAGTCATTTTCACGTAATACTGGATGTTTAAAAAAATCTTATTTGATGGCAAGTTGCAGGAAACTTTCACCTTTGTTGGTCCATCTCATTCAAACAAGAACCACATCGGGACACACCCAAAAGTTTCTTCTGAAATCTGTTATGTTTCCTCCTTACACTTTAAACTGAATTATACTGAATGAAATGAGCTATACTTATTAGCTTGCCTTGCCTATAACTGACACTGTTATAGGATTAGGGGTTTTACACGACACCTGCTCTGCAAAGACAAGTCATATACGGTATGTACTTATGTGTACTTTTTTATATGTACTTTTACTGTACTTGTGTATACATTTTTGGTACTTTATCTGTACTTTATTTAAGTACATTTTATTGGATGCTTGTTACTTTTACTTCACTACATTTGAGAGCAAGTACTTGTTTAGAATGTATTATTACCATTTACATGTTTTCTCTTTGTTATTATAATATATTTTGATGTGTGAGTAATTTCCCTTGTGGATCAAACAAGTTCGTCTAAATCTAGGTCTGAGTCCAAGGTACCAGTACTTCTACCCCCCTGCATTTTTTAAATTGGACTGAAAAGTATTTTTATTATAGTTGGAGACCTGCTGAAAAACCGGAGGGCTTTAGTTTGAACACATTTTTGGTTTGAGTGCACAAAAATATACAAGTAAAAACAGCTAGGTGAAAAAAAATCAATTCAGTTCTTTTTATTGAGCATTTTTATTCATCAAAATCACTACATTTGACACATTTGATGCCTTACACACTGGAAAAAAAACAATATCTAGGTAAATTAAAATGCAAATTAAAATTTATTTGGGTCGATTCAACTTAAGTAAAATGATCTACCAATGGAATCAGTGTTTTCTTAATTCAAGCAACATTCGATTTTGATATATTTTTTTTTAATCTACTTTCTACATTTATATTGAGTTTATATGTGGGGAAAAAAATAGGGCATGTATATTGTGATTTATGTGGACAAAAAAGCACTGAATAAACTGCAAATTTTTAAAAAACAAAGAAACAAAAAAAACATTCAATTTTGTTTGTTATTTTAAATGCAAAAAGTAGTTGTTTTTCTTATTTTGATTGCAGCAAGATGTATTTTCATTTTTTAACTACAAAAAGTCTTGTTCCACTGGCAGATAATTTTACTTGTCAAGTGAAATTTACTCAAATCATGATGAACTTTCTTAATTTGAGTCATCTTAACTTGGCTAGATTTTGTTTTTTTGCCATGTAAGACCTCAAAATATGCACAACACATTTTTTACTTTTTAGTCTTAACTTACAGTTTTAAACAGGTACATTAATACTTTTACTTAAGTAGATTTTTTTCATGTGATACTTTTACTTTTACTACATTTATTTTTTGCTCGGGTATCTGTACTTCTACTTAAGTAACACAATTGATTACTTTTTCCGCCTCTGGTATTTCGTATTTTATTAGTATTACTGTGTATGGATATCGTTTTAATTTAGTCATTAGTTGCAAATTGGGTCAAAAAAGGTCAAATTTCTTGTTTGGGCAGGTTTTTCCTACATATTTGTGCATGTTCTGAGGAGGTCCGTCTTGTATTTTTGGGTTCAGATAGTTGCTTGTCCAGTTTGGTGGGTCCTCCCTTTGGGCTGGGTCAGTAAATATAAAAGGAGACCAGCCCAAGACACGGATGAAACCACCACAAACTGCAGTATATCTTCTGGTAGTACATCGTGGATATTACTTACTAGAATTTAAGTTTTGACAAGGTTTACTGTGCTCAAATTTACTTTTCATTACATTACATTCTTTTTTAACTTAATTTTTTGCGTGTGGGTTAAAAAAAAAAAATGTATCGAGTATTTTCCCCCATCCCCGCTCATGTCAAAGAATGGGAAGGCTGCATGGATCAAAACGAGAAGTAAAAAAAACCATAGACGTTATATTAAAATTTGAGGCATGGTTTGATTTCATTCTTCGTTGCTGAAAATCAAACGCCCCAAATATAACATAACATTGCTTATTCAGTAGTCGAGATGTTTTAATTGTGTTTTTTTAAAGGTGTCCGAAAATGGGCTGGATAATATTGGGAGTAGTTTGTGTGTGGCTAATACCAGTGATCGTCCCTGCAGCCTCTGATTTTGGTAAGTGGAATGTGTGTGTGTTTTTTTTTTAATTTATTTATTGCTGGCTCCATTCATAAATATTTAAGATATGTTTTATTTGTCTTTTACAGTCTGGTGTTACCTTGACCCTTCTTGCAGTAAGTGAAGCTGAACATTTTACAATTGCTTCACTTTAAAGGTCCTATACTAGACAAAACTGACTCCTGTGAGCTTTAAGCCATGTCATCAAAAACATATCTGGACTTGTGTTTTGTTTCATTCACCCATGTTTGAGTAATCCTGCATTACTGGGCTGTCTACATTCTAAAAGCTCAAAATGTTCTGTTCCACCTTATGATGTCATGAAAATGGTGGCTTTCAAGTTAACAGCTCCTGTTAACTTTTCTTCACTAGAGATTTGCAATTCTAGGGCGGAAATTGTCCAAATGATTCTAGTGAAGGTGTATGGAGTTTAAAACACAGTGCACTTCCTGTATTACCACATGACATCACAAGGTGGAACCTATATGTCTTCTGTTAGAGAGAAGAACTCAGATTAATTGCACAGGGTTTGTGTGTTAAACTTGTGAAAGAAACAAAACACAACTCCAGGTATGGTTTTGAAGAGGAAACAACATTACTAGCCAGGCTGGTGCCACCTAGAGCCTCCACTCAATTTCAATTCTCTCCAGCGACTAGGTCAGGAATCGGAATGCAGTAGACGGTCTGCAAGAACCCTGGAAGTTGTAGACCGTGCAACTGGCCAATGAGCAAAGTTAAACTCAAGCGCCTGTCTGGGTCCCTTTCATGGTACAGCGCAACAGTAAACAAAGTGGTCGAGATGGATGTAGATGATTCTGTGTTGGCAACCAAGATCAAGGATTTAAAGCTGGAACAAAGAGAACGTTTGATGAATTTTATCAAGGAGAAAGACGTTATTGCCCTTCTTCCTACGGGATTTGGGAAAAGCTTAATATACAATTTAGCAACATTAGCGGTGCATTACATACGTCACAACCAAACAGCAGCGATTGGGTAAATAAAAAAGTACCCGCCTATCGTCGAGCGAACGAATTCTCATGCTATGAGGTCAGACGGTTTCCATGAAGTGAAACCGGCTGATGAATCATGCTACAACATCACAACATAGGCCTGAAAATAGCATAATATGGGCCCTTTAATACATTTTTTGTTCATTATAACTTAAATTATGCTTCAAGCTTTTTTCAAGGCTGTAAATAGTCTAGTTTAATAAAGTGTTTCTTATTTTTATGTTTGTGGGACTGAAATTGAAAAATGTAAATTGACTGAATGTAACCTTCTCTCACAGATGATGCTGCGTGGGTGACTCTGGCTCCTAAATACTGTGCTGGATCTCGACAGTCTCCCATTGACATCGTTTCCAAAAACGCCACGTATGATGGAAACCTGACAGCTTTAAAATTGAACAATTTTAACAGCAAAACAGCCCTGACCAAGATCGAGAACACAGGGCATACAGGTGAGGGAAACTGATCTTTCTACAGTGTACAAGGTCCTATATTACACTATTTTCTGATCTATGTTATAATATTTCTTCATCACAAACAGACCTGGAGTTGTGTTTTGTTTCATTCACACATGTTTAACACACAAACCCTGCATATTTAGTTCTTCACTAAAATGGAAAACATTCTGTTCCACCTTGTGATGTCTTGTCGTAATGCAGGAAGTGTTCTACTATGTTTATAAACTTCATATACACCTTCACTAAAATCATTTGGGTAATTTCAGCTCAGCCGATCGCTACAGAATAAAAGGTAAATGGAGGCTGTTAATTTTAAAACTACCACTACATAACATCACAAAGACAAACAGAGCATTTTGGGCTTTGGAGATGTAGACAGACTAATACTAAAGGATTACTCAAACATGTGTGAATGAAGCAAAGCCAAACGCCAGGTCTGTTTTTGAGGAGGTAAAAACACTATAAGTTAAAGCTCACAAGAGTCAAAATTGTGTAATAAGACTTAAATAAATAGTTAAATATCCCGTACTCCCTAAATTTCCATGAGAACATCTCCACATGAGAAAGTGTTGGTAATTTTCTGGTTATAAATTGAATGTCACAGGCTAAGAATGCAAAATAGTCTAATATTTCAAGCCCAGGGTGATATCGTTTTAAGGAACACTATCTTTTGTAGTTGTGGGGAGTCAGCCCTGCTTGTCTCCATGGAGATGTGGTCATGGAATGTTCCGCAGTGGAGCACTAAATGTATATCTTGCATTTATTCAGTGACATGTGTTTTATTGTTGTTTAAAAAGAAAAAAAAAATCCTTGAAGTCACCTCTCCATAAATCTGCCCTGTAACTTGGCCAAGTGGCAACACCTGCTTGTCTCCATGGTGATAGATATGATTAATGCCATACTGTGAAACATTTCATTCCACAGACAAGCAGGTAGCAGAATTTCCACCAAAAAAACCTACATATGCAAAAAAAGAAAATCTGGTCAAGTTAAGATGATTTGAATCAAGAAAGTTTTATTGTGATTTGAGTAAATTTCACTTGACATGTAAAATGATCTGACAGTGGAATAAGATTTTTTTGTACTCAAAATATGAAAACACATCTTGCTGCACTTAAAAAAAGAAAAACAACAATTTTTTGCACTTAAAATAAGAAAAAAAAAAAAAAAATCAAATGTTGCTTTGAATTAAGAAAAACATGCTTATTCCATTGGTAGATAATGTTACTTGTATCTACTCAAATAAAGTAAAATGTTCTTAATTGAAGTCATTTTAACTGACCTAGATATTGTTTGTTTTTCCAGTGCAACACATAAGTAAACTGGATAACTCTGTCTATCTTGTTCTAACTCATTCTCAGGAAGAGTTTAGCATAAATTTACTTTGTTGTTTTTTTCTGATTGTCAGTGAAAGTGACGTTGGCCAGTGGAGTGAGCGTGTCAGGAGGGGGGCTCACTGAACGGTACGACAGTTTGCAGTTCCACCTCCACTGGGGCAAGGGGACATCTGTACCAGGCTCTGAACACACTCTGGATGGCAAACGTTTCCCCATGGAGGTAAATATTCACTATTTATTCTAACTCCCGCTCCTTTTCAACTTTTCAAATAGAAACTGGTCAATACCTGGAGGACAAAAGGAGTAGAAGAAGAGTGTAAGGGGGGTTGAGGGGCTGGACCTGTAAATATGTGGAACAGTGTGACTGGTCTAACAGGAATCCACCACTTCAAACTTTGTCCATGCAGCCAAGTTTGCAAAAAGAAACATCCAGCTAGTCATATGTGATGTCATGTAGTACTTGAAATTGCAGTGGCCATTGGAGGCAGCAAACACGCACAGTTTTTCGACCATAACGCTGCAAATTTACCTCTATTTTGGCACAAAAATTTCCAAAAATGAATCACTAGGAACCGAAAACAGTGCTATGAAAGCACCAAGTACATATCCAAGTAGCAAAAACATTGAACTTTGAACTGGCAAACGTCAGTGCTTAGATTTATGGGGGAAATCTCTACTTTTAGCAAAACAATAGTGATGGTGAAGAGGAGGAGATCATGCTCATGGTGGTGCTTGTTTACTGAGTTGGTTTGCATTTGATTATTTATTTTCTTTATTTATGATGTAATTATGTTGTAGAATAGGGGTGTGCAAAAATACTGCAATATCAATATATTGTATTGTTTAATGCGATGGTACAATATCAATATCATGGGCTGCTGTATCGATATATTGCCAAGAGTATTGTTTGGTATATTTTACTAAATTATTTTGTTACAGTGCTACAGTTTTGTTTGTTCAGAGGAAGGAAACTTTGTATGCAACACATTTGACATTTTGCACAGTTTTGATGATGAACTTTGCACAAGAAGTGGTTTACATGAGTTAGGCTTTATTTTTTAATTGAACCATATCAAACCGATTTGAAATATATCATATCAAATCAAAAGCTCACTGTATCGAGATATGTATCTTATCGTGGCTTATGTATCAAAGTATGTATCGTATTGTGGCTTATGTATTGAGGTATGTATTGTATCCGCAACTTCTTAATGATACCCGGCCCTTTTGTAGAATGTATGAATTTTAGTACTATTTGATTTCAAAATTTAAATAAAAATTCGATGTGGTAATTATGTTATTTTTTTCTTAGTTCCACATTGTGAGTCTCAAGTCTTCTTACAACGGGAACACAACAGCGGCTACAGCAGATCCAACCGGAGCTGCTGCGCTTGGATTTTTAATTGAAGTAAGTAAAGTTGAATAAAAACAAGTAATGTTAGATAAAGATAACAATTTAATCTTTATAAAAATGTCTAAATCATATGTTCATGCTTTTTAAGGTGTCTGATAATACAACTGGAGAACCTGCATCATGGAAGACTCTCACCTCCTATCTCTCCAAAATCACACAAAAAGGTAATTCATGTACAACAGTTCTGGGCATTTGTGGGCCTAAACAAGATTTTGGTTGTGGTGCCATCTGTTACAAGGGACTGGTCCAAAATATTATAATAGACGCCTGAAAATCTGACTTAAAAGGCCCATATTATTCTATTTTCTTATCCATGTAGTAATGTTGTTTTCTCGTCAAAAACATACCTGGAGTTGTGTTTTACTTTATTCACACATGTTTAACACACAAACCCTGCAGATTTAAGCTGAGTTCTTCTTTCAGTCAGAAAACACTCTACCACTACACCTTGTGATGTCATGTGGTAATACAGGAAGTGCTCTATACACTGCGGTTCCTTGAAAACTACCAGAGAGCATTTTGAGCTTTAGAGATGTAGAAAGACTAATACTAAAAGGTTACTCAAACATGTGAATGAAATTAAACACAACTCCAGGTATGTTTTTGAGGAGGTAACAGTATTCTAATTGTAAGAATTTAATTTATATTACACGTACATCTCAGTTTAAAATTGACACACAAAAGCTATATTTACACCATGATCTTCCCTTGGCCTACCATTGGCATACCATTAGCTAAACTGTGGCATATTGCTGTCTAACCTGTGTCTACTGGCCTTCAGACTCTCACCACACTTGGCGAGGAGAAAATTCTCATCCAGCTCATCCAAGTTGCAGCAGCTTGAGCTGCGAAAACATCTTCAAACAAATTAGCTTTTGTCCAGTCAACAAACTGAATTTTCTCCTCACCATTGATTCTACCTGGACGACTGAGGGATTCTTCACACCTCACCACACTTGCTTTATGAACCTCCTCCATTGGCAGTATAGCAAAGGCGCTTGAACACTCAAAGATCATGCTATGTTCACTTTTGAAATCATACTATGTTGACTTTGTAAGTCCGCCCGGGCCCATATTATTGAGGGTAAAACTAAACTTCTCCCGTTTAAGTTGGTCTCCAGCCTTTTACTTCCACCCTTTCTGGGACAAGCTGAAAACATCTACAACACTAACATGGTTTAAAGCTCACATGAATCCATTTTACATAATGTAAGGACCTACAGTTTACAGTCTGGAATTTTGGACATATGTCCTCATTTCCTAGTGAGCCAGAGTGTTGGAGATGTGTGAAGACACTTTTTAAATTTTCCATCCAGTCCTTGTATTTGCAGAGGTCGCTGGTGCTAGGCTAGTGCATGTCAATGGCCATAGTTATCCTGTCACTAAAAACAGTCTTACCCACTCCACAAAACACCTGAAGCAAATCTGTTATCACACCAGACTGTCTATGTAAATGTCTGTGTTGACAGAATAACTTTAGAAGTAAAACCAATCTTGCATTTGAAGGATTTATGTCTGAGCAGCAGCAGTGAGTTGTACTTCCTGATAGAAAACTTGTCAGTGGCGGACTGATACATGAGAAAATAGTCCCTCAACATGCGACGATTCATGCGATGCAAGGTTAGTTTAATTTCAAACATTATCTGGTCTAGTCTGGCGTAATAATAAATTTGTTTCGGGTGTTTTGTGAAGTGGGTAAGACTGTTTTTAGTGGCAGTATAACTATGGGCATTGACATGCACTAGCCTAGCACCAGTGACCTCTGCAAATACAAGGACTGGATGGAATATTTAAAAAAGTGTCTCCACACGTCTCCAACACACCCTTTAAGGACAACTTTGTGTCTCACTGACATTGTTTATATTATGATGGATGGATAATGTATAGAAAGTGTATTTAAACTAAGTGATGCATTCTCAGGCCAGTCCGCCGCTCTGTCCGAGAGTATTTCCCTGGATGACCTCCTGCCTGGGGTGGACCGTACCAAGTTTTACCGATACAAGGGGTCCCTCACCACCCCCAACTGCTACGAGGTGGTGGTCTGGACCGTCTTCAAGCAGCCAGTCAAAGTCAGCAAGGATCTGGTAGGTTAAACACAACATTTATCACAACAGTCTAGAATTCCTGTGGTTTAAAACTGAGCTATAGAACAAGATGAGATTGTGTGGTGGAATTTGCTGTTTAAATGTCAAAATGAAGATGATTTGACCTGGTTCATGGTTAAAATATCTCACATCTCATAACTGGGTCTATTCACATGAAACAGCAACTGACACAGAGTTCATTTTTCATTCTATCTAACAAAGGTGAATTTATGTTTCAGAAAGTGGTGCTATTATTATTCAACCCCAAAGACATAGTGGTTAACTGAAAAGACTTAAAGATGTAAGATTTATATGGCAAGTTTGAAGAGCAAAAAAAAAAAAAAAAAAAGAAAACAGTGAATCTCCCTTTGAATTATGTATGCATTGTACCATAATGTGAAATTATAGAAATGAAATGAAAATTTGATTTATTCTGCATTCTTAATCTAATCTAAACTATGTGTTCATTATTAAGATAATTATTAAGGCCAATTAACCCATTCTGTATCTCAAATAAACATAAAGTCTATCTGGTATCTGGTATGTTAACCATCATTCAACTATCAGATGACATCACAGTATTATAGCTAAATTGTTAATTGCTATGACAACTGTCCTGATTTTTCAGATTCTTGAAGCTCACAAATAGGAAAAATGAATGGATTTCTAAATGTAGAGTCCTTGCCCACTGATGATGAGTCTTTTAATCACAAGATATTTTATTTATTTATTTATTTATTTAGGCCAAGAGGCAGGATAATACAGAAACACAAACAGACAATCACACATCAACCATAACATGAAACAGTGAATAGAGAGACATAAGACAGTGAAACATTTGCAGATTAAAGATATAAAACTGTTAAAACATGTGTAATTATCCTGTAAAATACTCTGGATGGAGTTTTTAAAAGTTGACAGAGGTAAAAACGAACTAAGTTTTAAAGTCTATACAGAGACTGAAATGAGGAGCATCCCAAAGATGTGGGGGCTTTAGGAATAACCAGGGTCATGTATCTGTTGTATGTTTTAAACTATCTGGATAAAGATGTTATCATAAATACACCTTAATTAGCCATAATAAAACATGAAGAAAGACTAATTCATAATAAAAAGCTTAATAATGTATTAATTAATAACTCAGAACCCCAAGTCCTTAATTAAATTGTTAAATAGTCTGGAATGTTTCGCAGTATGGCATTAAACCTTTCTATCTTCATGGAAACCAAACTAGACCAAGTTACAGGTCAGATCTGCAGAGAGACAGCTCCACTTACAGTCAAAATGTCTGTTTTTCTTGGTGTTTTGAGCTATAAAACCAGCTGTAATTGAATAAAAGTAAGGTAGAGCTGTTTAAAGTCATACTGTGGAACATTCCAGGCAGAGCAATGATATATCCATAGAAACAAGCAGGTCCCCCATAACAAAAAGTTACATAGTGCCACTTTTAAGGCTGACAATAGCATAAAGTGGTACCAACTGTAAGTACCACCATAAGTATCACAGCAACTACCACAGTAATTATCAGACTAGTAATTACTAACTACCACCATAAGTACCTAGTAAGTCCCAGACCCTATTTTAAAGTCCTACTGGAACAATATTTTATCATGAAATCCTGACCCACACACCCATCCAAGTTATATTTTGGTGATTGCCTGATTTGGTTTGATTTTGTTCTTTGCAGATTGACCTTTTCTCCAATACGGTGCGCATTGGAAACAGCACATCTCCATATATGGTCAATGTGTACAGAAACCTCCAGCCAGCCCTGCCCGTCACCTACAGCTCCAGCCCCAAGACCAGCTTCTGCTCCGGACTCCTCCTCTTCGGTCTCGCTCTGTGGATGACTTAGGCCCAAAATGTATTCATAAGCGTGCAGTATGGAGTATTGGGTAAAATGAAGTAAAATGGAATTTTAAAAAAGCGCATGTAACAGAGAAAGGATTGAGTTCGGTTTTAGGGTAAGAGTATAAGTACAGAGATTGGGTATTATGCCAAATCAAATTATGATCAAACTTCTTACCGTTAGCAGTACATGTTTTCATAAATATACAAATAATAATAATAATAGTAATAAAAAACAATACACTACAACTTCACAAACCTGATGCAATGTGCAGTAGTTTCATTAGCGAGATGCATGCTGATTATGTTCTGATAGCATTTAGTGACTTAAAGGTACACTGTGTAACATTGCTTTGTCTAGAATGTTCCACAGTATAGAGGCTTGGCACCGTCACGTGTCCCCCATGGCAACGGTACCTATGCCGCCATGACACCGGGCACGCTATGTCACTGGCTCCTGTAGCATTGGAGAAACATGGGCAGGTTTTGTTGTGTATTTGGTTGTTCTAGAGGCTCTGAAAGGGATAAAACCATTCGTTTCTTCACTGTTCCTCTAGAAATTACTCATCAGGAGCTCAAACAAGGGAATTATCGAAAAAAAGATGCGGATTATAGCTAGAGAACATAAACCGTGAAGAGATTTTCCATGGTACCATCAAGACACACTCACGTCACTTTCATCAAATTATTTGCTATTTAAATTGTTTCATAGCTTATTTAATGAGAGAAGCACATTTACTGAACAAAAATTTAAAAAGAAAACATTTGCAGTGTGAGTGGCAGTAGAAACTGTATCTTCCAGCGCACATATAAACATGTCACTCGTCGTAGGACTCATGTTTTCTTTATTGCCTTGCTTATCCACAACTATGTCTTCTAGAATTCATCGCTTTTTGCTAGCGGATCTTTCTAACGTTCGTGAGGATCTTTTCATGGTCGATTCTTTCGAGGTTTGGCTCACAGACTCTTTGACTCATGCGCCATGTTGATCATAGGAGCCCAGTGTGGGTTCACTGAATTGTAAACTAGTGCGGGTTTTCCTGGATAAATTAATGAAATTTTAGTTCAGTAAATGTGTTTCTCTCATTAAATAAGCTGTGAAACAATTTAAACAGCAAATACCGTGATGAAAGTGACGTGAGTGTGTCTTGATGGTACCACTAGAAATTTCTTTGCGGTTTATTTTTGCTAGCCATAATCCGTGTCTTTTTTTTTTAAAATTCCCTTGTTTGAGCTCCTGATGAGTCATTTCCAGAGGAACAGTGAAGAAACTAATCGTTTTATCCCATTCAGAGCATCTAGAACAACTAAATACACAACAAGTTTCATGGCGGAGTAGGTACCGTTGCCATGGGAGACACGTGACGGTGCAAAGCCTGTATAGATCAAATAATCTAACACAAGGGAGAAAAGCAGGTTACAGTATTACACTACATCACGAGTCAGATCTGTGGAGAGTTGCCCTTATTTACAGAAAGAATCAATGTATTTTTGATCAGCAGAAACACCTGTAATGAATAAATGCTTGATATATATGTCTAATGTCATACCATGGAACATTCCAGGCTAAACAATAATATCTCTATGGACATAAGCAGGTGACGGACCCTCCACCAGAAAGGTTACACAGTGCACCTTTAATACATTATTCTGGAATTTGTTTTTGAATATACCATTTGCAAAATGATCAAAGGCAACACTGTGATCTAAATATGTTATGTGATAGCAATTAATCCCGTTGTGTAATACCGCCTCTTTAAGTATGATTTGATTAAATTCCCTGAGCAGATGGCAATTTATGCTAAATCTTATAATGAATGTGAATGAAATAATTACACACCAGGAAACCAGTGTACAGATATTGCTACTACTTCCAGGTATTGTTCATTATTCTCTCATCTTACACAGACACTGGGCTTATTAGCGCCCCCTGTGTGGTGGTGAGTGTATCTGCGTCACAGTTTGAGGAAATAGCAGCAGCAGGGCACAGTCACAGCTCTTAATATGACTCAAACGTGTCATCTGTGGAACTTTAATGATCACGACCAGATCACTCTTTCAACTCTGACCAATGTTTTGTGAATGTAAGAATAAAATGGAAGTGCAGAGATATTCAAACCAACATATAAGAAAGAGTTAAACAACGAGGAGCAGTGCAACCTGTGTAACGCACTGCTCTTGGTTATTTAATACTTACATATATGATCATATGGTAATCACACTGTAACCACACAGTGTACAACAGAACTAGAATCTGTGTTTGTCTCAGATAATGGCTCATAATTGGTCATTAAGATGATCTAAAAACTCATAATCTCTTCAAACAAAACATGTACACGGTATAGATCCTGCCTATTCAAATACAGAGCTGTGGGAAGAGGAGGATAATGAGAGGAGAACAAAGATTTTGGGTCAAAGCTATTTCAGATAAACAAGCGTCTGTACAATGTTTGGTAAAAGAGGTGGACAGCTGTTCCTTTATTTCTTTGGGATCAATGATCTATCTGTCTAATTTCTATTTTCATGGAATCGTGCAAGTGATGTGTCACCAATTTATGAATTGAAGGTTGCTTTAGCAGTAATCAGTAAAACATAAGAGTGATTTTTGAACTGATTAAACAACAGCCTTGAAAGTCAATTTCTCCAACAAAGTGCACTTTTTGTGAATCAGACTGTGTATGCCCTAATCAATAAATCAATGAAACATATCCATCTAGAGGGAGACAAGCATGACATCACCAGATCAAGGTCAGCTCAGTGGAGAGGAGAGCCTGCTCTACAAGAATGCTAAAAAACACAGAATTGAATAAACATAAGAGATATCCGTTTAATAGTGGAACATTACAGGCAATACAATAACATCTCCACAGAGACAAGCTGAGAACTACCGAGAAAACCATCAACAGGAGGAGAGAAAATTGGTAGAAAACAAACTTGAATAGCCTCTAATCCCAGTCCTGATCTGGCCACAGCAGATGGAGCCGATGAAGAGGCACAGCTTCTGCCCAAAAACTCAGTTTCAGTCAGAGCCAAAATCGTCAACCAGCCAAACACATGACCACCGCCCTCCTCACAGTGTCACACACGGACTCAAACAAGAATGTTTACATTTGAGTTGATTTATTATGCATTATTTTTGTAATAATTGAATTATTTACATTATGCAAGGAATGAACGTTCAGGACAGGAGACACGGAGACATTCCTATATTCACGCTGGGAGTTTTCTACATGTATGTTATTGGCAGAATGTGCACCAGTTACCATGGACACACAACGCATACTCCCCCCAAAAAATAATCTGAAAACTCATGAAAAAATACAAAATGAATTTAAATACACACAAACACACGCACACGCACATTTTTAGGAGTCTGTGATATAAGCGTTCATGGTCCTGCTGTTTAGAATCACCGACCTCCTCCTCATCTCCATTTCTTCTTCACTGTCTTTTACCAGCAAGAGAGATTTTTCTTAACACAGTAATTTATAAGCAAAATCAAAGATGAGTAAATAGTTTGCTCTTTAGTCAGGTGAACTTTTTGGTCCGCAGGATGAATATGTGAGAGTTGTAACAGGCTCACAGATTTCACAGTGTTTTCAGAGTGTTCCTCAGCTGTGGAGAATTAGATTTGTAACAATAGCATCTGCTTCACAGTTATTCAATGATTAATTTTCATTACAATGTGGTCTGACACGTTTTACCTTGAGCTGACAAAGTCCATCTCGTGTCATCTGGATTTCACACTTGTATTACACAATATTACAATAAATGAGTGTGAAAATGCTCAGATGGATGGGACCTTACAATGGATAATGGATTTCTTTAGCTCTGTATGTAGGTCCTGTATTGTACTGCACTGTAGGTTAAAGAATATGTGTGATATTTTTATTTGAAATTTCATAAACATAACCTACTCATATGCAGTAATACAAGGTAAACATGCAAATCAAACATTAGGCTACATTTACTGATTACAGTTGTAGTGTTGATTGTTACAAAACCATTGGCCACAATAGTCATGTTATTTATGGTACAATTTGTTTTGTTTTGGTTTGGAAGATCCAATCAGAAAGAAGAATGAGCCTGATACGGGTCCTTCATTTGCTGAAATCCAATTGGTTTAAACCTAAATGGACTCTCTCTGATCCAGGTCCCAGTCTACCGGGAGGCAAAAGAGTGCATTGTATCCCCATTTAAAAGTCATTTTAAGGCTACGTCCACACAACAATGCTCCTGGACTTTTTTTGGCTGGGTTGAAAAAAATTTGCATCCGCACATGTGTTGGATCAAGAAATATTCACGTCCAGATGACAACAGAGCACTGAGTGAAAACGATATAATACATATGCCACACCTCTATGTGGTGCTGTAAACAGGATACAGCCAGATCACCCAAAGTCTTCTTCTGGTGGCCCTTCTAGTTCTACACAGTAGTGGGTTTAAAAGAATCTGACACGTGTAATCGTGTATGTGTCTCCGCTGGTCTTGTACTACATAGTAGATTAAGAGGTTCTGATGCAACAGTACAAATAACTTTAGAAGCGTCTGCAACACAAACTCAGCTCCGTTGTCTGCCATGGTTGTTTTGCAGGGTTCTCTTCTGGTCACGTGGCGATGACGGGGTCACAATGTCATTGTTTTCCAAAAGCTGCGGTTTGCTTGTGCACACAATGCAACGTCAGCGTTCTCAAATTTTTCCACTCTGGAACCCATTTTCAAAAAACACAGTTTTTCGCCCACCTGAAACGCCGGCTCCGTGTGGATGAAATAAGAAACAAATAAAAACTTCACCATTCTGACCAAAAAACATTGTCATGTGGACACCACCTAAGAGTGTAAAATAATGACACGTAATGCAAGAGCACTGTGTTTGTATCCTTTGAGACTCGGGTACAGTTTTGTCTGTAGGGGGCCTGTTCTCATCTCAGTCCTCACTACACCTCTGCAGCTCAGTCCTGTCTGTGTTTTTAAAGTCTTTACCCCTTCACCACATTAATGCATTAT